ATTCTGCTGTAATAATTAATTAGCCACGTGGATTTGCCTGACGCGTTCGTAAATACTTATAAATTTAACCAACGCACTACTGCTGAACTAAATTCGAGAATGCTTTCACAAATAAATCACGGTGTGTTTATAAAATACATCTTCGCAACGGATTTTGATTAATATACCTCCGTGGAATACGTATTTCTGTGGTTTCCATGCGGTTTCTGTGTAAAATAGATTGATTTCTTTTTGGAAGTTGGTAGATTTATTGTGGGGGAGCCATGATTCGGTTGGCTCGACCGTAGTGCCTTACAGAAAACCGGTATGAAAAAATGGCGGATTGTGTTTCAACACTTTCAACCTTTCCTTCCCTAAACCATTTAGTGTGCTTGTGGGGACCGATTGCTTTCCATCAGGCGATTCGTCTGTTCGTTAGCCTATGCCATAGAAAAGTTTTGGTATTTGAGTATGAGTAACCTCATACTCAACTACCAAACAACAGTCAGTCAGTTTTAACAGTCGTGGATCAGAAGAATTGTTGGATTGTTCATACGATAGCAGTTCTGATGATGACAATTATGAAATACTTGTTTAATACTTAATTATCAAACTGGCTCGGCATTGCCCAGAGGGTAAGCAGATCCATATTACATGTTGAGCAGTAAAATGAAAAATATACTTTCTGCCGAAAAGAGAATTGCCCAATTTTGCTTAATTTATAATGTTTCTAAAATATTTTAGATATTTCAGAGTCAAGCTATTTCAGGTTTACAATTTGAAAGCTAACCAAAGTTGTCGACACGGTTATCAACCGATTTTTCTCTCTTCGCGTAACTTTCTGCCTCGCACAACCAACTTTGGAATGATCTTTCGACAGTATTTCCAAAATCATACGAACTTCAAGAAACTCCTCCTTTTCAAAAGTCATGTGACTCCTCTGGTGTTGCAGATGTCCATGCATGGACGGTATTGATCACTTAACAAGAGGTGACCCGCCTGCTAATTTGCGTCCTATACCATAAAATAAAAGTAGGTTCAGGTAGGTTGTCCATTAAGGTTTACAAACGAGGAAATAACCTAAAATTCCTCGAAAATGGGTTCTTTACAACGGTATCCTAAAATCCAGATTATTCTAGGCATTCTAACATTAGCATCGACTAAAAACCATCTGTTTTCCATCAACAAACTGAAAAACTTTAATTGTAAACAGTCGACGACGGATTTATATACAGGCTGTCAAAACTTTAGTTATTTCTCAGCAGTGTTTTACTAATTTTGTGAGAATGTTAATATATTATGGTAATGCTATGGAAGTGGGAGGGATGGCCTTCTTGTCTAGATGAACGAACTCTTTATTTTTAGATGTTTCATTAGCACCTGTTCAGTTTGCGAACTTTTTTCTTAGTACATAGTAAGGTGGCGCGGATTACGGGGTAATGTATAATATATTTCTTTTTATATTACTTTTATTGTATAATTTTTGAGTTGTCAGTACGTTTTTGAATTTTAGCCTTTAAGTCGTTGTTGTAGTTAAGCATCTGAGTTCTGTGTGTGGTCACGATATTTTCAATATGACGGATTAAGATCGTGATTCAAAAAAGTGCGTCAATTTATCTCCGAACGTACTTTCGTTGCCTTTGTTCTTTAAGAGGGACACTTTGTTTTTTTGTTTGTTTGTGATTATTCATTAATCGGGTAGATTATTTATGATGTCTTAAAGACGGTAGAATTTAAAAAGTGTATTTTAAATTTCATACAATCATTGAATATTGATTTTCTTTATTTAAATAAAAAAATCATTTCGGTTGATAAAATTAAGGTACGATTTTTTTCAATAGTATTAATTTAAAACACTAGGATGAGTTTAAATTTCATTAAAGATTCAAAAATATTTTAGCGTCGTTTATTTGAAATAAGAATAGTTATTCAAATTTTTAAACTTCATAACGTTCCATAAATTTTGAAAACACGTCACTACTTATCAAAATGTTATCTTCTTTTATAGTGTTATTAAACAAATTGAATGTATGTCTATGAATAGTTTTGCGAATTTTTTTTATCGTAATGATGAACCTTGATACTTGTGAAAGATATCTTCCATACCAAGTTCAGGCGTAGGTCAGTTCGTGTTGTACAGGCTTACAGTTTACATTTACACTCCATATGTTTAAAAACGCCTTCTTTTAAAACATAAAATGTATTAATACATAAGATTTCTAGCGTTTAGACTTCATCATCATCATCATCATCAGCCTGTTGTCGTCCACTGCTGGACATAGGCCTCCCCAATTGCACGCCACGCGTTTAGACTTACATTTTTCTTAATTTTACCTTTCCAAATTCACTTCCCGACATTGGATTCGAACCACTTCCCGGTTATCGATTGAGTTAGTGTTTTTTTAATTAAACGAATATGTACTTAGAAATAATTAATTTTCGTAACTTACCTAGTCAAAATTGGAAATGGAATGCTTTTGAGAATATATTTTTTTTTTTAACAAACTAGCTAGTCTCCCGCGGTTTCACCAGCTCCATTTGGTTGTAGCGTGATGTTTTATAGCCTATAGAACTCAGCAACATTGTAGCTATCTATGAGTGAAAGTTTTTTGGCAATCCGACCAGCGGTTCCAAAGATAGCCAATATAAACCCTACATACAAACTTAGAAATTTTAGCTCTTTATAATATTAGTATTGATAAAGATAATGGCTTTACATCCACTTATACATCGTTAAAATAAAACGATTTCATTAAAACCCGGGAACAGTGATTTTTAAGACGACAAAAAAGGGTACCCGCGCAGAACACTTATGCAAAAAACTATGCGTTAGCGTTCAGCGTAGACTTCATTTGTTATTTTTATGTATACCTATCTACTATTCCTGCGAAAAAATGTCGTGACCCGGAGGTTAAGGCGCCTGCTCTCATACATGAGGGCGTGGGTCCGGAATCTGGCAAGTACCAATGTGACTTTTTGCGAGTTATGTGTAAACCAAGATGGTTTACACATAACTCAACAATTAAGAGAATATCCTTGTAGGTAATAGCTGTGAACTGGCTGCTACTAATGACTTCATAGTATAAAACAAAGTCGTTTTACCTGTCCATGTGGTATATGAAAATGAAGTGTCTTTAAAAATAAATTCAAATATTTTTTACAAAATTGGAATGAATTAACACAACGCAACGGATTTTGATGCGGTTTTGTTAAATGAATAGAGTGGTTATAGAGGAAGGAATTTTGTATAATAATATCCATTAAATAGTGGAGAAATTTAGTATCAACATTTCAACCCTGCACAGCCAGGCGGATCACTAGTCTATATAAAAATACTAGCAGACCTATCCTCGCGTTGCTGTGGCTAAGGTAAAAAATATTGTTACTATAAATTGAGATGTAAGCTATCCTATCTTTCGAGGTGGATCAAAATGCACATGGAATGCAAATCAAATTTAAAAACGGTATAGTAGTTTAGGATTCCATCGCGGACAAACATGTGACACAAAATTTTTATAATAGGTAATTGCCGTTTTGCATGAAAAAATTTAAACGAATTTTTTGATTTGAAATGCAATGAAAATGTAACACTAATCAATAAACAAATGACTACTTTTGGAAAAAGAATCCCATGTTTTTAAAACAAAATTAATTAGCCTTAGCCTAACAAAAACTATTTTGATTTAAAATGGCCAGTACTGCAGAACGGCAATTTCATAGGTAAAGAAGATGGTAACATTCAGGAACGAATTGAAAAAATGTTTTTGTGTTGCATAGACTATTTATCAAGGAAGGGTTTAGGCTATAAAATGTCACGCTATGAATCATTATTCATAGCGTGACATTTTATGTCTGTAGACAAACAGTCGTTAGACCAGTAAAATTGTGTGGAATTATTTTTGATAAGACAACAAACCAGCATTGGGATTACCTGATGGTAAGCAATCGGCACCGCCCATGGAAAACCGCAACATAAAAGAAGTTACGAGAGCGTTGTCGACCTTTTGGGGTTTCGGAGGTTTAGGGATTCGGGAGAGCTATAATTCAGCCTCCGATAAATTCACTCCCATGGAAAAACATAACGCTGTGGTTGTTTTTTCGGCCGTGGTATTACTCATATAGTTTTTTGTGTTCGTGTTTGTAACTTTTAAGAAAAATATAAAAAAAACTGTTGAATGGTTTTTTTTAATCAAGCCATGCTAACTATTTCCTATTCTTTCTATTTGAATTATCTGAGTATTTTGTTTAAATGGAAATTTTCTTTTTTTTCAGATTGGATTTCTCTCTCACACTGCAGTTGCGAAGAAGGCACAGCTTAAACAGGATCTAATTGCCACTTCAAAAACCAGATCTATTGATCTTTGACTACAATTAAAACAAAAACTAAGAAAAAAACCTCTCAACGTCTTACAAAGTAGTTTAAATACGATTAATTTTAAGTTTAAATACGATTAATATTACTTTAACGATTAAAGTTTCATAAATTTATTAATCTGTTTTAAAATTCTGAATTTTTGTAAATTCTTTATTTTAAAATAGATTTAAAAATATTGAAATTAGTTATAATATTTTCGTTTTATTAATATTTACAACAATTTGAAGTATGATTTTGGTGACTCCGTGGGTATAGTAGCTAAAGTGGCGGCTTTAGTTTTTTATATTCCATGGAAAAACCATATGTATGAAGACGTATGAAAGAGGTTGCAAATGTTAATAAAACAGGGAAATATTATGACTAATTTCTTGCGTAAAACGAAAGAAATATGCAGGCACTAAGTAAGAATTAAGAGATAGAATTCATAGGCAAAGAGAAATAAAACTTAAGAAGATTCATATAAGGTAGTTTATCGCAGGTCCGGAAAATATCATTAAACTTACTTAGAACTTATTAATATAGAGAAATTAGTTTGTAAGTAGGCATTTCTATCTATACTATGGGCTCGAACACTTAATACTTAACTGTCTTCTTTGAAACACTAAAGACAAAGACCTCTAATAATAGTTCCTTTTCTAACCAACAGATACTAGACGGCACAATCACTTCAAAGGGCTAAAAGTGATCAACTTCAGATTCACAAACAAGGTGCTGCAGAATGAACTCGACGAGGCAGTCCTCAACCTTCACATCCAAGAGTTGGAGTCGAAAAACACCACTATCGACCCCGATGAGCCATTCACCATCAACTTACAAGTCAGCAGGGTGACAAGGAATAACCAGGGAAGCAAAGCGTCAGTGCCTTACACTGACAATTCAGTTAAGATGACCAGAAGTGAACTGAGATCTGGTAAATGGTTGAAGGTTAATATAACCACGATGGTTGCGGAGTTTTGCCAACTGCCGCGGGAGAATTTAGCAATAGTAGTGAGAGTACAAGACTCAAAGAATAGAATGAGTTTGGTTGTGCCACATCCAAGCTCTGAATCAAATAATGCTTTGGTAAGTTTTGCTCTTTTCATTCCCTCTCTTATACTTGTTAGAGTATCCATATGTCTTAATCTATCCGATCTCTAACGTTGCCCTACACTAGAATTTTTTGCTCTCCAATAGGTTTTTTTTTTACTGACTAAAAACCCACCCGTTCCTTCTCCTGCTCTGGGCCGAGGTCGCGGTGCCTCATTGCGCTTACCCCGCAACCCCGGCTGAACATCAGCCTTATAAGCCCCCGTCTGTGGTGGTCTATTGGCTCTTTGAGGTGCGCGCGGAACACTACCCGCCGTACGCTCGGGCCTGGTTGCTCTGTAGTAGGTGCGTTTACAGAAATACACAAGCCACCCAGACCCGAACACCCGTGCGAAAATACGGTAGTTACCAAATAGACAAATTCAATACTTTTATCCAAATGACAAAAACAATACTTTTCTATGAAATTTGTATGAAGAAATGAGTTATGACGTCATAGTTTTCTTGCGTCAAATAGTTTGCTTATTCTTAAAAAATTGCTAAAAAATATCTAAAATTCAGTGTATCGATCGAGCGACGAATAAAACCATAGTTATTTTGCAATACTTTATCGCACTAAAGCGTCGAATTAATTTATTTTTGACCTAGGAAACTACCCAATTGTAACCACGAAACGTTGCATAGCAGCCAGTTGCGCAGCCACTGCGTCGAAAGTGCATTCAAAATATTTATATTATTAATACTTATTGTTTTTCTTACATATGTAGTTAATTTTATATTAATTGCCATTTTATCGTTTACTTGTAGTATCGTTTATTTTAAGCTTTGTTTTCTACCTTTAAAGGTCAAAGGTCTGAAGTATTTCAATTAAAATATATCCAGTAGCTATCAAAACTTTGATAGATTCAGTTAACTTTAAAAAAAGTTGGTTTCTTCACTGATTTTTGTAATGGGGACAACGTTATTTTATAATTCACTACACGGTTGGTGCGGGGGCTAGGTAAGAAGGTGCCGCGCAACATATCACGGGTTCGATTCCTGCACGGAACAACTTCTTGGGTCAACACAAATCTTTGTTCCGTGTCTAGGTGTGATGTGTATGTGAAATATGTATGTTTGTAAACGCACCAACGACATACGAGAAAATCTCAATGTGAGGTAGAAAAACGTATTTAACAGCGTGTCTAGTTGACTTATTTACCTATATATTCTTAACCTCATTATTTTTAAGATTATCAATTTCAAAATTTATTAATGCAGTGGCATCAAAGTTATCTGTATCTATATTCGGTTTCTTTTTGAACCGTCACGAGTTTATTTAAAAATATATGTAGGTACATGTATATATCTTTATCGAAAAGATAATGCTGATCGAATTTTTTAACTTAATAAAAAAGTTATCAGTTTTTCTGTTCGTTTTGTATAATGATGCAATTTCACGGATATAAACGAGTCTTTGTGGCTTTAATTGGGATGATGAGAACTGCTCTTCAAATTGCTAATTACTTTGATTAATTTAAAAGATAATTTCAAAAATTTTATAAGCTTTTATTAATTGAGGTTACAGGGCAAAGAAGTAAGTAAAAGGCACTTGCACTCACCTTTCGCCAGTTAATTTATAAATTTTAGGACGCGTTCCGCGGGATTGAAAAATATTCACATGATGAGCCCCACGCTAGGTGGGGTGTGAGGGAGTGTCAGACTCTTACTGACTAAAAACGCCCCCGTTCCTTTTCCTGCTCTAAGCCACACTACCTTGCGGCGCATGCCCTGCAACCCCGACTGGAAATCGGCTCTATAGGGCTCCTCTATAGTGATCTAATAGGTTTTATGGGGCCTGCGGAACGCTACGCACCGTTCGCTCGGGTCTGGTTTTAATCGGGCGGCGAACTACCCTTGCTCGCCATACGCAGACCCGCGCTTACGGTGGCACCTTGCCCTAGGTGGGGCAAGAGAGATTAAAACCTCAGTTCCTTCTCCTGCTCTAGGAAGGAGCCACGGCATTTTTGGGTTTTCGTTAGTCCATCTGAATGGGATCCATACTTTTGTTTTAACCTTTTAATCGTGGCAATTCGAGACACGATAGATAAACAATAGGTGTGCGAACGCAGGTTCTTAAAAAAAAAACTGATTATCACCTAGCCAAACTATTTGACGCGAATTCTAATAATCTCAATTTGATTACAGATGCCATACATAGAAGTAAGCCTAAAGGACAATTCGCACAAACGGACACGACGTACTATTGGCATGGACTGCACAGAGAACTCGAAAGAAGCGCGCTGCTGCCGGTACCCTCTCGTGGTGAATTTCGAAGAGTTCGGCTGGGACTGGATCATCGCGCCCAAAGTCTATGACGCCAACTATTGCAGTGGGGAGTGCCCTTACAGCTTCCTACAAAAATACCCACACACCCATTTAGTACATCTCGCAGCTCCACAAGGCAGTGGGGGGCCTTGCTGCGCCCCTCGAAGGATGAGCAGCATTACAATGCTCTACTTCGATCATGATTATAACATTATATACGGGACCATCCCCGGCATGGTTGTCGAAAGCTGTGGATGTTCATAGCAATGTCTTAGAATAGTTTGGACTCCAAGTTTTGCAATCATCTCCATTTTGAAAGTACCTAATCAGCTCCGGAAACGATATTTCTTTCTCTTAAAAACTGCTTTAGAATTTATTATAATTATCTAATTCTGTTATCGTAAAGAAATAATTGAAATGATTTCATTCATTTAAATGTTTCATTCATGAATTTGCGTCAATGTCGAAAATCAACCCTAAAATGCCGCATGACTTTTTTACAAGCAGATTTTTTTTTAACTGTATTTCCTATTATATTTTTTTTGTAATGTTTTTTTCTGTGCAACGTATGCTTGGAGTCTTATGTGTGGAGTTTATAGCTATGTGATATTCGGTTGAAGACTGCAAACCTTATAGTGTTGTGTGCCGTGAGTGTGAAAAATGTACATTTTTTTATTTTACGTTCGTACCTACCTACCTAGTATAAATTACTCAACTTGTAAGGTCTGGTTTGTGCGAGGCTAGTTATTATCGCTAGTTTTTATTATAAGCACATACCTACATTAATCGTCTTTTTAGATTGGAGTTAACGTTATTTTTTTGCTTCATCATTGCTTTTTAATATTTTCATATTTATAATGTTTGGTTCTATTAAATATAAGAAAGTGATTTTCTATATTAAACTAGCCTCGTAGAAACCAACGCCTCATTTTATTTTAGAGTCACTTGTATGTAGGTATCACTCATTTCGAACAAATTGTGTATCATCAAAAATAAGTGGCATTTTCGACCCCCAAAACCGCTGTCAGGGTTAGATATCTATTGACTTAGCTATCAACATGACTTGTAACCATTTAATAATATAATTGACTTCTAAAACCGGCGATTATCAGTTTTAATTAATTATTTAAAAATCAATAATCTTACTTTTTTCTCCATCTGTGTGACCCGGTGACATTTTTATTGTTCACAGATAATAGAGCAAAGGTTCGGAGCGATAATGAATTTATCGTTTTATTTTTTATTTGTAGCATGAGTTATCAAAGTTATGCTTTAACGTGCGTCTCAATATGGCATTTATTTTTTTCTATCCTAAGACTTATTTCGGACTTGATGTTGTTCCATAATTGCATTTTGTTTCAGCATCACTCGGGCAGCTGGTTAAGATTATTAATGATAAACGCATTCAATTTTATTAAAACGTCTTTTCGTACCTACATCCTGCATTCATTATCGTGATAAAATAAAAAAGTATGTTAATATGTGACCCAAATAGATGGCCGATTTTTTCGATTTTAATATTTATCGTTATCAATTTTGTCATTAGCTGGTTGTCCGTGGATTGCGTTTTTCGTTTTTTCCCTCTCACGTATTCCTCATATTACCTATAGCATAATCGTAATCCATTTTACCATCAAAATTTAATTATAAGTAGGTAGCTATATGTAATTCGATGTATATTATAAGTACTTTTTGGAATTTCTCTTTTGATATTGTTTGGATCTCGTTCAAAATTATATTTTTATAATAAAAAAATACATAGTTTCTTTTTAAGGTGGTGCGGGTGGTGCTTAAAATGATCGTTGCTTTATTTATATTAAAAAAAAACGAAGTAAATATAAATGTTCCAGTACCTACCCTCGTAAAATAACGTATTATTTTGGCGTGATCAAATTTTTTAGATATGTTTTTTGTCGTATATAAGTTTTTTTTATATAGAAAAATTTTAAATGGGCGTAGAATTTTCAAAAATTAGATCTCATTTTAAGGCAACCTTTCTATTGAGTGCCTTTTTAAAAGATCTCCCAATACTTTTGGATAAAGAAATGAAGGAAAGATAAAAAAAATAAAGTAAAAAATGTTTTTGATGAACATTGTAGGGTTAAGGATTATGTGTTAGAATCTACTCGACGTAACTTGTTTATTGTCAAAACACTAACATTTTCATGTTGATAAGTTTTTTTTTATAAAATAAATTTTCAATTCTTTACGATTCGTATTATTTTGTGGGTGTAAACTCTTTAAGAAATATATGTCTACGATAACTTATTTTGTTTGATTTATTTTACTTCGTAATAGTTGCTGCCTTACTTCAGATATGTGATGGCCAGGTAGATGGAGTTTTGTCACATACTCACCTACTCTATTTCTGTACTGAGGGGTCACCCGCATCCTCATAACTGGGCGATTTTTTTTAAGGGCCGAATATCAACAAATGGTTGCACCCACGTTGCACCCCAAGTGGGGCAAGAGGGACTGTGAGACTTACTGACTAAAAACCACCCCGCTCCTTCTTTTGCACTGAGCCTGAGCTACGGTAAATTATCGTGCTTGCATCAGTAAAAAAACAAACCGGCTGGACCACATCGGCCCTACTGAGTGGCATCTGTGGTGCTCAAATGTCTCACAGGTGGAGACGGCATCCCAGTTCCCTTCGATTTTTTACACGACTGTCAAAAGCGTGTTATTTAATTTAGAAGCGATACTACGACCTACATTGGAGCATTTGATTCCGCCATCCCAATTTCGCCTTCGGACATCCCGGCGTACGGCAAATACCCTTACGTTGTTGAGACACCTGCGGCCCGGACTAAGCGTTTTGCCTCGTCATTTATACCGCGTTCATCGAGGGATTGGAACAGTTTACCGGCTGCAGTCTTTCCGTCCAAATATAATTTAGGTGTCTTCAAGGCTAGAGTGAATAGGCTCTTAATAAACTAGTGCGCCTTACCATCAACGATTGCATCACTCCTTACCACTAGGTGGGATCGCAGTCAAGCACTAGTTTATTGCAAGTAACAACAACAACAAGAAAAGCAATGGTCACACCCGTATTATCCCTCACGAAAATGTACAAGTTCAATTGAACAGGATCTATCGCAAAAGAAATCTAAATACTTATAAGTTTAATCCACTTCTGTCTGAGCTCCCTTATAAGGTTTTAAATAGTTTTTAGATATTTAGGTAATATTTTTATTTTAATAAACTAGTGCGCCTTACCATCAACGATTGCATCACTCCTTACCACTAGGTGGGATCGCAGTCAAGCACTAGTTTATTGCAAGTAACAACAACAACAAGAAAAGCAATGGTCACACCCGTATTATCCCTCACGAAAATGTACAAGTTCAATTGAACAGGATCTATCGCAAAAGAAATCTAAATACTTATAAGTTTAATCCACTTCTGTCTGAGCTCCCTTATAAGGTTTTAAATAGTTTTTAGATATTTAGGTAATATTTTTATTTCAAATTGCAAAGAAGCTTGTAGCGAGCTATTGGGCAGTGGCAATCCCACGGACCTAACTCCCGGGAGTCCGAGAGTGTGGTTTCTCATCTCTGATTAGTCCTCGGGACTAGAGTGGAGATTCGGCAAGAGTAGGAGTTGAAGGAGACTCGGGGGAAGGGTGTTTCTCAATAAGATGCTGGTAGAGGTCTTGACTCTCTTGTCTCTCCGTAGTTTCGGGCCTGATAGCCGTGGGAGACCTCTCCTTCCCCAAGCAGCTCAACGTATGTTGCCTTCTTGTCGCTTCATGCTAGCAGCCGTTTCCGGGGGCCCATTAATTGAGTTTGCCAGTCACCCCCTGCCTCTTTATCCGTATATATCAATATTGGTTACAGGCAGGAGCCATAGTATTTCCATAGTTATCATATCTACCAGTCCATAGTAACCCACACCCATAGCCATATAATTTTCTACCATATTGCTCAATAGTTCTGCATCAACCGTTGCATAGTGGATACAGGGATAGTTGCCGCTTGATGTCCCATTTTATGCGGGGGGTTTCACAGGGTCCCGCGAATGGAAATGACCATTAAATTAACCTAATATATTAATAAAAAATGAACAGTTCTACAGTGATTTCGACAGAGATCTCCGACTTTTTCAAGTTGGCTTGCAGCTAAAGTTTAAAACTAAGCTCAATACAAAGTTGTAGTAGATTAAGATGGATTTTTGCCAATCATATAAAAAAAAATACGATCCTTCCTTCTTTGAGCGTCTTATTTTACTTCGTTTGGTGCCAGGTGAAACGAAGTTTCACTACAGTTCGGTTTTACTGTAGGTATATCGACTATTGTTGGGGTTCTCTATGTCCGAATCATTGTACTTACATAAAAAATGAACACAAATACTGTGTTCAGACGCAAATACACATGTTTAGTTATAGACAATTCTGGTGGCATTTAGAAAGCGTAGTGGCAATTTGCTTCTAAAAATGAAAGGCTGTGTGATTGTGTGTGACTCCCTTTTCATCATCAGCCTATAGTGCCCACTGGTCAGCAAAGGTCTCTTTTCACACGAAGGTTTGAGCATTAATCATTAAGCTTGCTCAAAGCGGATTGGTGATTTCAATCTCAGAAGTCAAAAATCCTGGTTTCTTCACGATATATTTTCCTTCACCGTTTGTCAGTGGTATCTAAATACACTAAGGAAGTACGTATAACTTAGTCATATTGGTACTAGCTAGGTTCCATACTCTCGCCCTTATGCATCAGAAGAGGATATCCCTAGGGTTCATTTAGTGGCATTTTACTTATACAATCAAATACTTGCCCTGGATAAGATCTCACTATGAGAGGAAGGCAATCTCCTATCTAATGCACCATACAAAAACTTACCAACTATTATGTAAGCAAAAACTGAAATCATAGTCGTCGATTAAATTTGAACATTTTTTGCTAGGACCAAGATTTCCCCACCGACTAAGACAAGGCTAATGCCTTGATGATGTGATTTGATGAATGGCAAACCTTGCTCATCAGTAAACCACATAAAATATTTGATATTGGTATTTACCAAGATAGGTTTGTGATGTTATGAGTCCAGCCTTAGCCAAGGTCATTTTCAAACTCAATCAGTAAACTATTTTCTTTCCAAGAAAATTGCATTATTTTTTTAGCTAGTATTGAAATATAACAAGTAATGCAGCATAATATACAGTTGTGAATCGTAAACAAAATGAGTACCTACTCTTAAAGAACATTTTTGAATCTTCATAGGTGGATCCAATTATGACCAACTAGACCAAGGGCATTCGCATTTGTTGCTTAGCAAAGTTATCAAATTTTTCATATATTGCAGGATTTAGAGTTCATTGATATTGTTGAAAGAGGAATTAGGAAATAAAATGACAAAACTTCATATGTGACGTCCTCACAGAACGGCCACTCTTTATTTTTATAAATTTTAATTTATTTACACATTTTCCTTTCTTCTACTTTACATTTATGACGTTAACGTTTTTAAAATACATTACAAAAACAAAAATAATAATAATAATTATATAACAGAAATACATGAGAAATGTACACTTATTTTTAGTTCAGATGAATGGGAAAAATAGATGGACTAGTATACCCAATTAGAAAAAATAATCGTTCCGAAGAAAACACTTTTTTTATCATTTATTTTCCCATCTTTAAAAAAAGTATTTCATAAATTTTCGCCTACATGTATAAACGTTTATAAATTAATGTATTATTATAGTAAAAAATGGCAGAAAATTTATTAAATACTTCAGTCTAATATATATTGCTTTACATTTAAAATATACATGGAAATCAATGTCATTATTTATTGTACTTTTATCAATTCTAATCAAACAATTCCTTATTTTATGGGATGCCGGTGTGTCCATTTTACGTTTGTATTTAAATTACGTACAACAGTTAAGTCTACGGTTAAAAAAGGAGTTTAAAAATACGGTTGCGCAAAGAATTGACAAGAGTTGCGCCAAAAAGATTTTTTGCGCAAAATTGACGATGGTTTGCGCAAACTTACAATAGTGGTCTATGGTTGAAATATTACTTTATACATTGTTTAAACGTTAAATAGAATCACCAGCGTCTTTCTATTAAAGTAAACAGGTATATGCATGGCATTAAAAATCTACTTTACGTAGAAATCATATTTTTGTAAGTTTTTTTTTATTATTTATTTATTTTTATTAAACGAGATATTTATTCTAATTTCTAATGTACAGAAAGTGCACAACATCAAGTGGTGTCAGTCTATAATAGGTTTGGATGGATGGATTTTTTGAAATATTGACAAATTATAGTTTCAAAAAGCTGTGTCGAGGTCCACACTTTATATGGGCCAAGGAGAAGTAGAATAATTTTCGAATCGAAATCTCGTTTCATAGAAATCTTACTGTTATTGTTAATAAACAGAGAAAATAGGTAATTTTGATTGGCAGAAAGCCTTTCAAGTGTTTTTTTTCGATAGAACGACAGAGATGGTTGTTTTCGGACCATTATTTTATATTATACAAGTTTATCCCTGGCCCATTACAATGTGCGTTCAACCGTGCGGTGGTATTTTAAAAACTCTTTTCTGGCAGTGGTAAATGCTTGTTTTTGTGCATTGCGTACGGATACTTTTAAGGATATTTGGTTCTGAATAAACATTTCAAAATATTAGATTAATAGGAATGTTCTTACATAAAACCCGAATAAAGATAGATTAAAAAAATCATAAAAAACTGGTTCGATTTTTAAAATACCACCACGTAATGATATTTCAAACTAAAATCGACCGTACACTGATACAGTTAAGCTTCATAATTGTATAAAAGCATACGAAACGGTACATTATGGCAGTGATACAATAATGGCTAAAGCGAACTTAAACTAAACATAACAATTCGTTCCTGTGTTTAACGAAAAGCCGATAAAAAGAGAATAATTATTTACTAGACTTGCATTAAAACTTGCATTGACCTTTTAATATACTGTGCATTGAAATTATACTTAATACAAAGATAAAAAACAATATATAGAGACAGGAAAATATCGCCTAACATCAGTGAAAAGGCATAACATCGCCTAGCATTAGTTAAAACGCCTAGCGTCAGATACATTGCCTAGAACTCATCGCCTATAGATAAAAACAACGTTAAACACAACAACGAACTGAGACATCACAGATATCATTACTACAGTAAGAAAACATGTAATGCGACAGAATGCCATGATTGTAACCCAAGAAGTAACGATAGTAAGGTCACACTGGAAATAAGTACTAATTATCTAGTACTAAACGCTAACCATATATACAAAATTACTATCCAACTCGCAATGAGTACATGGTCGCGACAGAATCTTGAGCCATTATATTTAAATAGGATCACAGTGAAAAAAGTGATTTAAATTTAAGTCACTATTTACTATAAATATTAACGTCCACGTTATGGCAAGTTTCTCTAAATAAACCTGAAGTGTTCCTAAAGACTTCTAACTGTCTACGTCCATAGAAAAATTTCCCTTTTACTAGTATTTTTTTTTTCTGTACAACACGCCAAGTCGCTAACACATACTTTCACAGTCTAATCACAAGGTTCAAATTGCACTGTTTAAAAACTGGGTTGCGACACAGTCCTGGGGTTGCCACTTTGGGGCTGGTAAACGTCGTAGGAGTTGTGTGGCTCCAAGTGGCAGACCACATTATTTTCTCCATTGAGAACGGCTGCTAGAGCCCTCATGTTGCTCTCCTGAGGCTGGTGGTATGGGTGCATCAGCCTCCCACTCTCATAATGCCTCTGGTCATAACGATCAAGGGTGTCCCACTTTCCATACTTCCCATAATGCTCCTGTTCATGATGATGTCTCTCTCCAGGACTGTATGAGATTAAAGGGCGATGGTCTCCAAAAAACTTGGAGCTGGAAGACCCATGGTGTCCAGGGTTCTGCCGACAATTGTCAGGGCCTGAGTTATCGTCTGACATATCGGACATAAGGGTCTCATTTCTCTCGATTTCTTCGTAGACTGGATCGTCTTGTATGACTCGGAACTCCTGCTCGGAGCCTCGCCGGTACATTCTGCCTTGTTGGTTGGCAATTTCTGAATAGGTGTGGTTGACATTTTGGCTGCCATGGTGGTGGTGGTGTTTCCTGCGGTCGTCTTTGTAGTGTTTTCTGAAGATCATCTCCTGACTGCCTGGAGAATGTTGGGACATGTATACGTGTGGGTTTCTGAAGTCATGGTTGTAGCTGCGAGTGGTTTGGTACCCTTGTGGGTGATGGAGAGGGCTTTCTTCGTCTTTTAGGGCGTGACGGGGGGAGGGGGGCGCTAGGGGCGCGTCACACTCGTACGGGCTGTGGATGTGGTTCTGCTGGGCAAGTTGCCGCGACAGTGTGTCGTGGTGCGGCAGGGTGGATGTATTCCCTGGGTGATGCTTAGAAGAAGTGTTCTGTAAAACAAAGGTTGTTATTAGAATTAAAGTTGCAGCCTTTCGGTGAAAAACAGCTCAATTTTTGTTCGTTTCTTCTTGCTTTTTTTGGGACAATTTAACAAGAATAGAATGACTAGGTAGGTACTTGTTAGTGCGGCACTAAATGAAAAGTACCAGAATTTTTTATTATTTAAATTCTACAGCGTACAGTTTAATGTCGTGTACCAACATATTTACATATTAAAATTCACAAAAGAGTTAATTATATTATTTAACACATTCAGTGCCCTCGACGCACCTGTGCGTTCTATACATTAATGTATTGAACGCACAGGTGCGTCGGGGGCACTGAATATGTTAAGACGGTCAGTAGACAGTGCTAAACTTAGCTAAGTCTAAGTGCTAAGAATGGTTAACACTCGTGTACACAATGGCTGATTTTGGCTTAATCATAACAAACGAACAACACAGATTAAACACCTAATGGAAGGACATGAAAATGATTGATGAAAGAATTTTTAGTTAAATATTTTAGCAGAACAAGTATACGATGAAGAATAAAGAATGAATATTTTGCAAATGATATTGGGAAAGGAATTAAAAAAAAAATTAACTAAGAAAGAAAAAAATTGGTAGATTTTGACATGTTTTTTTTTGTAAGTTGCCATATTATAAATGTCAAACTTTCAGTAAGTTTCATCTTCAAATAGGTTATTGAGAATCGGTGTAAAACTTTCATTGGCTATCAAATCTGTGGTATTTTTGTGACAGATGTTTTTTTTTTAATAACTAGAGATGTATTTAGCCTTTATGGGCGATTGTGCACAGGAGATGTACGGAAGAGATGGGTAGGGCTATATGCAGTGAGATGACATCATGCAATGTCCGCTAAAGTTTTTATCATGCAGTTGAAGTGATTCCTTTACGATTTAGTAAGATCTTTAGATCCCAATATGTACCGCCACCAAAAAAAAAAAAACAGTTAATTAAAATTGTTGTAAATAAAAACCTGTAAAAATATACATTAACAACAAATAATCGATTCGCATTTGTCAGTTCTAAGTTAAAATTCAACATGTATACGATATAAAAATAAATCTAGATCTAAATTTAAAAAAGTACCTTTATAAAATTATTAATTAAATAAGAAAAGTAACTATTATACGGGATACAGTTTTTTGTAATCTATACTAATATAATAAAGTGGTAAAATTTGTAAGTTTGTATGTAGGGGGTAATCTTTGGAACCGCAGGTCGGATCGCCAAAATTCTTTCACTTATAGATAGCTACAATGTTTCTGAATGCTGTAGGCTATAAAACATCACGCTACGATCAAATGGAACCGAGCAGCGGGGGGAAGCCGCGCGAGTTTAGCTTGTAATACCTAAAGCTACAAAATCATCGTAGAAAAAGTTAAGTAACAAATGATTCAATCAATAAATGTTCCCGCCATGACACATTTATAATCTGTGAAAACAAAACTAAAATAAAATCTATTTTATTTGGACTAGATCTTACCAAAACGCAATAGAAAACTATAATGGAACACATCAAACGGTTACACTAGCAGCAGCAAGCTGGACAGCCCTTCCCTCACCTTCCAAACGTTAGCATTCGCCATCACCGCCCACTCGTTCGCGCCAATCGACGCCGCCATCTTATTCGAAAAACAAGATGGCGAACGAGACCTCAAATTCTGGTACTCGTTAGGAACTTCAATATTGTTCCTGTAGCTATGCATCGACGCAATACTTTGCGTGTGAGAAGTAGAATGCGGAATATTTTGAGGAGTCGGTACTCGCATCGATCTTGCATCGTCACTTGGAACATAAATCGGAGCCGTCGGACGAATGTTCCATCGCGCCGTCTCAGGTTGCAAGTTGTAACTCTATATAAAGAATTCTCATATAATACACATATAATTATACTAAATACATATACTATTTAGGATAGACGACAGAATGACTATGCGTTACGCATCTAGAGATAGGATTCGTTGTATTTCCAAATAGAATGGTTCAATATTTTTAACGGTTAGTTAGAAATATTTTTAGCCATTCGTAGATGCTGTCAGTAATCTATAACCACCACACCACTAGAGGAAGTGTTAATTTTACTTTTGAAATGATTATTAGTTAAGCATTAGTGATAGTAGGCTTGTAGAAGAACAGAGAAAAAAGGAACACAAAAATTGGACTTACCGTGTCAAAAAAAAAACATACAAATAAAAAAATTTTAGTCACATTTTGTACACAGTAAAAAAAACAATGTTAAGAAAACAAACACAAAACAAATTGAGCTGTCTTTAACCAATTAGTGACAATAAGCCAGTGGTGTCTGGTGGTGAATTTGACTTTTTGATAAAAATTTTGGAAATACCCTATCTCTATATGCGTACGCACCTTGTTGGCCATTTGGTCGGTATCCATGGGGGTATCTTCCGCTACCGGGGTTGATAGGGCTCCTAAGTTGCGTCATGGGTGCGGGAGGTTCTCTTTCAGGCATATTATGACCGAAATTAGCCGCTGTAGCGTTTAGACTAGGTCCAAAGTTAGATGACGGACCAAAATTTTGATTTTCTTGCGATGTCCGTCGATTTCTGTTTGAATGATAACTATGGGCGGCCGCGGCGGCTGCTAGGGATGCTACAGCGGCGTTGTTGACAACGTTATTGTTGTTATGGTTATTGTTGTTGACAACAACGTTTAACGTTTTGATGATTAAGTTGTTGGTTGTTGACGCTGACGCGGAGGCGAGACCTGATGTGCTTGCAGTGCTCTGCTAAAGTCGGAATTGGTATTTTATTGATCTATTCTTTTGCAAATATGAGTCTTAGTAAGTTATACATAAGTGTTATTTTAGTATGCACATCTGATTGCGTCATCTTGTGTAATAATAATGATATATAAATAAATTCGATGTTTTGTATAATGTATTAGTTTTTATACCCACACCAACGTGCAAAATTTTTCGTAATATTTTAGTCACATACTTAATAACATTTTGTAGTACTTAAATGCCAATAAAATTATAAATATAAATACTTACATAATACCAATATTATTATATGACATGATATTTTATAATTTTGAAAGCAATCTTCCCATGATTCTTAATATTATGATAAAGAGTTTATTAATTACTAAGTAATAAAATTTGAACAAATAAAATACATAATGATTGAATTTCTTTACTTCGTTTTGTTATGACACACATAGTAATACGAATAAATCGTGTTGTTAGCGCAAATCTCCAAAACGGCTGAACCGAATTCATTATTAAAAAAAAATTATAGAAATACAGATGATATATGGAAAAGTAGGAAAATAACAATACTATCAATGCTGTGACGGTTTACTTAGAAAACCAATAACTCCCCCGGATCTAGATGGAAATCCATTCTATCCTGGTTATAATAAGAATAATCAATTCTATTACGATTTTATTTGTCCAAAAATTCATCCCGTAACCTAAAAATAGAAATAATGATTCCATACCGTCACATCTCTAGGATCCACTACATCGTCCACGTCAGCAGCGCTCTGGTGGTACCTTCGACTCTTCACAGACCCTTGCCTGGTGTCCATGTGATTGGAGGAAGATGCAGTGGGTCCATTGTTATGCTGTAAGGTTTCTGAAGGTTGTCCTGTGAAGTGGAGACAGCAAGAGAGCCAGGGGTGTCGTCTGCCGATCCGAGCGCATTCATTTCGGAACTGAAATTGCAGAAAGTGATTCAGTTTAGAAACATTTTTTGTAAATTTCTGATGAGGTCTGTTGTTGGAATAAAGTGTGATAATTTTTAAGTTATCATATAGTAGTAAAAAGTGCTTATTTATTACTTCATAGTATAAAACGAAGTCGCTCTCTCAGTCCCTATCTATATACGTATGCTTACATTAACAATAGTTATCATAGTCTGAGTTACAATAAGATAATAGAAAAAATAACTCAGACAGAATATAATGAAAAATCAATATTAGTTTTAATAGTAGGTAACAGTTTAGATGTGAAAAAAAGGGACATTGTGAATGGTGTGGACACTTTATTAAAATTAAAATTGGGAAAAATAATACTTTGTGCATTTCCCTATTCAAGTACCTTAACAGACTCCAAAAATAGACATTTAGGTGTACTTAACAGTACACTACACCAATTGACATGTTGTCATAGTGACAAATTAATTTTTTTTGATACTAATAAATTTATTAGTGATTTTATATTGACAGAGAGAGGCATATCCCTCTCAAACACATATAGAAAAACACTTGCTATGCTAATAGCATTCAATATTAACTCTGTTATAAAAAATATAACAGATATTAGTTTTAGGGACGAATCTGTGCTGTCTAGGCTACCTAACAACACAGAGATAGATTTAAACTAGATTTTAAGACAACAGAACATACCATCATATATAATGTTAGTAGTAAGGTATATTCTGGCAAAAAAAAACTTATATCAAATGTTGTTACACAGGCTCAGGGGCAGCACAATCTTATCTTATTTTATATTAATATTCAGGGCTGCTCCTCTAAATTATTTGAATTAGAAATGTTCCTCGAGAAAACACAATTTGATATTGTGTGTTTAGCGGAACATTGGATGAAAGAGGACCAATTAATATCTTTTAATTTTGATAATTATATTGTAATAAGTAATTTTAGTAGAAAATATATGTTACATGGTGGGTCCTTAATTTTAGTTAAAAATGGCATTAAGTCCAAAGAAAGGAAAGATATTGTAGCACTGTCAGTTGAACACACTATTGAGTTGTCCTGTGTTGAGCTGGATAAACATGTTGTTGTTTGTGTTTATAGACCACCTAATTATCAGAATCTTGCAGTGTTTGATTCAGTAATGGAAGATGTTTTGAAGAAGGTATGTTCTAGCCATAAATCAGTACTTGTATGTGGCGATTTTAACATTAATTTATTGGAAAACAATGCAGGCAGCATGGAACTATTAAATTTGTTTGGATCATTTAATTTAAAAAATGTTTTTCTGGAACCGACTAGGATAACACCATCCACTGCCACATGTATTGATAACATTTTTAGTAACAGTAACTATTTAGAAAAAAAAAATTTAAACAGTTTACCTTCTGACCACAGTGGTCTGACCACTGTGGTAACTTACAGCACTTATTTGCCTCTACAAAAAATTCAAATAAAGTTTAGACATATTACAAATAGAAATTTAGAGAAACTCAATAATTCAATAGCAACTAAATTAAGTGTACAAAATTTTGATGTCATTAATCCGAGCAAGTTATACGAAAAATTTTTTGCGGTGTTAAATAGGGAATTTCAAGCTATTTTGCTAATGAAATGTAAAGACATCTATTCTAAGTTTCAGTTTAGCGATTGGGCAACCGTAGGTATTCGTAAGAGTAGAGATAAACTTTTTGAACTTTATGGCATGAAACCATTTAATTGCGACCCCCTTTTTCATCAACATGTAAAATTGTACTCAAAAACATTTAGAATAGTATGCAAAGCCGCAAAGCGACTTTTCATCAGTAATAAAATAAAATCAGCTGATGACAAGATAAAGGCTACGTGGAAAATAATACAGAATGAGACAGGTAGGAAACGATTAAAAAATTCGGAATTTTGTTTAAACACTGAAAGGGGACAGATTTCGTCAAGCAAAGATGTAGCTCAGGAGTTTGAGGCATTTTTTGCTAATATACCTGTCTCAACAACTGCTCATTTAGAATCATCAGCTAGACTATCGGTAACTTTGCTTAGAGAAAATGTCAAATCATGCAAAGACGATTTTAGTTTTCATTATACTAATCCTTTAGAGATAATAAAGGTTTTTAAAGAAATCAAGATTAAATCAACTGAGGACCTTTGGGGACTATCGGTGAAAGTCTGCGGATCACTTATCCGAACTTTAGCGCCGTATCTGGCTTTGATTTTCAATAAAAGTATAGATGACGGTGTCTTCCCCAACCTAATGAAATACAGTAAAGTTATTCCATTATTCAAAAATGGTGACACTAAGGAACCAAACAACTATAGGCCTGTGTCTGTTCTACCGGTTCTTAGCAAAGTGTTTGAAAAGTTAATGCTATCTCGGATGCTTCATCACTTTGATAAACATGCCATCTTCCATCACCAACAATACGGTTTCACTAAAGGTCGTTGTACAACTGACGCCGGTGTCACTTTGATAAAGGAGGTATTCGGTGCTTGGGAGGAAGCACAGGATGCTGTTGGTGTCTTTTGCGACCTCTCAAAGGCGTTCGATTGCGTTGATCATGAAACACTCTTGCTGAAATTAGATCATTACGGGATTAGACATACTGCACTCCGTCTACTAAAGTCATATTTAGAGGATAGGCAGCTGAGAGTTCATGTAGGTGGTTCTAACTCACGGGGCTCTGAGATAAAAATTGGCGTACCGCAAGGTTCAATTTTGGGTCCGTTTCTCTTCTTAGTGTATGTTAATGACTTGCCATTTCTATTTAAAACCGAGCCAAGAATGGTGCTGTTTGCAGATGATACATCATTAATTTTTAGAATAGGTCGACGTGTTAATAATTTGGACGAAGTAAACAGCTCCATTCATCGAGTTCATAATTGGTTTACAGTCAATAATTTAGCACTTAACGAGAAAAAAACAAAATGTATTAAATTTAGCTTGCCCAACGTACACAGTAATGATTGTGACATAATTTTAAATGGGCAAAAGTTAGAATTTGTTAACGAGACTATGTTCCTAGGTATTACGCTAGACAATAAACTTCAATGGGGTTCCCACATAAAGACGCTTTCGGGAAGACTGAGCTCAGCTGTTTTTGCAGTTAGACAGATAAGACAGCTCACAGACGTGAACACAGCAAGGCTTGTTTATTTTAGCTATTTTCACAGCATTATGTCGTACGGAATTTTGCTATGGGGTCGAGCTGCGGAAGTAGATTCAATATTTATTTTGCAAAAGCGGGCTATCCCAGCGATATATAACTTGTCCCCTCGTGAATCTCTGAGAGAACTATTTAAAACGATAAATATCCTAACGGTACCTTGTCAGTTTATATATGAAAATATTATGTACGTAAGGAAAAATTTGCAATTATTTGAAAAAAGAAGCGATAGACACAATTTTAATACTAGAGGCAAAGATAGGCTGGCTGTGCCACGATTCCGTCTGTCCAAAGTACAGAAATCCTTTATGGGGTTCTGTGTAAATTGTTACAATAAAATTCCAAGAAGTGTATTAAATCTTAATGAACGAAAATTTAAAACTTATATTAAACGCGAATTATGTAGACAGGCATACTACAAACTTTCAGATTATATTGAGGATAAGAATGCCTGGCAGCATGTTGGTTCGGCTCCACTGGACAATTCTCAAATATGTAGTCAGTAGTTATCAAAATTCTCAAAATTAATGAAACCTTGAATGAGTTTATATAGAAGCATTCTTTTGGATTGTGAGTACGCATATGTGAGCGCCATGTACGAAACAACAAAGGATTAAAATTTTAATGATAGATTAAATAGACCATCATTTGTTCCTTTTTATTAACAACTTGTCTCTGCATTGTTCTCACATAGGGGTACAGTAATGTATAAAAAATGTATTATTGATGAATTGTAAAACAAATATTTTTTTTAAAAGAGTAACGATGGAGTTTCTTGCTCGTTCTTCTCCATTCGAAACTACAATTTGGAACGAGCACCTAGCTTCACTGACGAACAGACTGACAGACTACTATTCTATTTTGACGTTTCAAAAGTACCTATTTATGGTTTATTTGGAATAAATGATTTTGATTTGATTTGATTTGATTAAGTGATTAAAATTACGTAACGGATAGATATAGTGATTGAAGAGGAAGGTTTATACAATCCATGACATAGTGTTTGCACCCCTTCGAAGCCGGGGTTGGTCGGTAGTATTTAAATAAAATAATGACATGTTTTAACACCATATATGTACAAGAAATTATGTGGCACTGCTATTCTTTGTCGAATATCAATAATAACACCGAACTCTTTTAGAATCAATACAATGTCGATATCAAAAAACTTAATAAACTTTTAAAACCTTTAACCCAAACTAATATTATAAATGGTAATATTATAAATGGTAAAAGTAATTGTCTGTCTGCCCGTCTGTCTGTCTGTCTTTTCATCACGCCTAAACTACTAGATCTATTTTCTGTGAAATTTGGTACAGACATAGTTTGGAACTCAAGAAAGGACATAGGATATCTTTTAAAACAAAATACTGCAGGAAGTCACTATTCTACGCGACCAAAGTCGCGGATAAAAGCTAGTTTATTATGATACTAACCTTATCATTCTGCAAACAATGGAAGATGAAGATCACAAGTCCTTGTAAAGAGTTGAGGATTGTGAAGGCGTATGCCATTGCTACTGTCTGCTCGCTCAGGTACAGCAGGCCAAAGGTCCATGTCAATCCCAAGAGGAATGCCAGAACTAGGGAGCTCTTAAGCCAAACCCTGGAAATGGAGAAGAAGAGTAATTAATATAAATATATATAACGATATTTTATTGAGGATTTTTGAAATAAACCACAATTTGTTTCTCTGAAAATACAAAGAAACGACATTCATCATCATCATCATCATCATCAGCCGGAAGACGTCCACTGCTGGACAGAGGCCTCCCCCTTAGCTCTCGACGTCGAACGACAAGTTGCCACCTGCATCCATTGTGGATTAGAAACGACATTAAAATTCACTAATCGCTAATTCGCTTCCTCAATTATATCCCTTTAATTACTCTCAACAATATTTTTAATGCAATAAAATAAACGTAACAAACTGAAACATAATCCACCATTTTCTAACGTATCTCTGGCCGCTGTCTTCTACTTTTATTAGACAAGACAATGAAATGTCATTTCATTACATATATATTTATACTTAATTTTGATTTCAAACACTCGCTTTCGACTGGAGTGTTTTTTTGCATATGTCGTCAAACGAACATATCGAGTTTTGCGGGTTACGGTGGCGAACGAGTTGACGTATTATCTGATGGTAAGTAATCAGCGCTTCCCAAGGACTCTAGCCAAGGAGTGCATTTTCTACCTCTTATGGATTATTCGGGAATTAATTTCACAAGAAATTAAATGTTGCCTCACGCCGATATCAGTTCGGTCGAGCCCGCCTATTGTGCCGAAGCAAGTTCAAAAAACTAAAGAAAACCAACGCTCGCATTTTATTTCGCCGCTGAAGTATACCAGCAGCTCAGGGCCAAAAATACTCTTGTAAATACTTAATGTTTCTGGGAATGTAGCTTACCATCAGGTAAGTACTTAGGCCGAATGTCCATTAGCTTCATCATCACACAAAAAAAAAATTTGCTTATCGGTCCAGGCGTCTTCGAGTAATCGATGTACATAAATATAAAAAAAAATACGCGTCGAATTGAGAACCTCCTCCTTTTTTGAAGTCGGTTAAAAACAATTTTAATTATTAAATTTCACAATTGAAATAAATCATAGGTACTCACTTCATTTTATAAAGTTTAGCGTCATCTTTTGCCTTCAAGGAGACCGTGGAGTGGGTGCACATCATATAAATCACCATGATCAGACAGATCCAGTTAGCCTGTAAACGATAAATGCTTTTGTTAGCATGTTAATACGGTTGATTTCGCTTTGTCATTGTAAACTTAAGTTAAAAACAGTCTTTTGTTTCATTTCTACAACGGAAGAATAGCAATACTGAACTAAATAATAGTAGACATATCAACGCATACATAAATTTTGTTCAAATAAAGTAGTTATATAAGTCATCATCATCATCAGTCTATAAGTGCCCACTGCTGAGCAAAGGCCTCTTCTCACACGGAGAAGGTGAGAGCATTAATCACCTCGCTTGCTCAATGCGGGTTGGCGATTTCAAACTTATAATTATTAGAAATTATAAGTCCAGGTTTCGTCACGATGTTTACGTTCACCGTATGTCACTGGTGTCTTAATAATCATAGAAAGTACATATAACCCGGAAAAGGTCACATTAGTACTTGCCAGGTTTCGAACCCACACCCTCATGCATGAGAAGCGGGCTCCTTAACCTTCGGGCTACCACGACACCAATATTGTTTACATTTAGTTAAATTCCTAAACGGATAGATTAAGAACATAATATCCAAAGAAAAACTTACCACCAGAACCAAAATAACGGGTCCAACAAAGCTCATCATGAACCATCGATCTGTCGTTAGCCAGCAGTGCTTCTCAGTGCCATATCCTCCAGGGTACACCGCTGCAGACACCAGGACTATCAGTGCTGGCACCAGGTAAGCACACGTGCAGTACCATCTCGCCCGAGGGTGCTCTGGCTCGAATACTTCTACCAGCATAGCGTAAAGGTGGAATCCTGGAAGGTTTAAGGGAGAAGAGTTAAATTCTGTCAATTTTGAGGTTTAAGGATGATTAGAACTTCTCATCAGTACATTATTAGCCTACAAGTGTTCGCTGCTGAGCAAAGACCTCTTCTCAGAATGAGAAGTTTAAGGCCAAATGGCGATTTCTATACTAATTAGAGATAAGAAGTCCAGGTTTCCTTACGATGTTTTCCTTCGTATCACTTGTAGAAGGTTTGAGCATTAATCACCACGCTTGTACAATACAGATTGGCGATTTCAAACTTTTAATTAGAAATTATATTAAATGTTTCATTAGGAATTATAATTCCAGGTATCCTCACGATGTTTTTCTAAGTAAATTTCTGTATGTCAGTGGTATCTAAATAAACATAGAGAGTATATTTGACTTGAAGAGTCAATGTGGTCATTGCCAAGGTTTAGAACCCTCATGTATGCACGAGAAGCAGGCGCCCTAACCTTCGGGCCATCACAACTTCTAAAATGTATAAAACAAAAAAAAAACACTGCTTTCTATTTCAAAAAACATACCTTCTAGGAACATCCACGCGAAAGCTGCCAAGAAGAAGTAGTGCAGAAGACCAGCGACTACACCGCAGAAGATTCTGTTCTGTGTCTTGTCTATGCCTGCTAAGAAGATAATCTCGGCGACCAGGAGGCAGGCACACAAGTTCTTGTGGATTAGCGCGCGGTCAGACTGTGGGGAGAGATTTTTGGAATTAGGTGTTTTGCAAAATTATTTGTGGAGGGGATAGTGATATCTGTTTTGTGATTGTTAAGGTCTATTTTTAAAAATTATGTGAAATGTAAGAACCTATTTTATGTTTAAAAACCGCAATTCCTATACATTTAACTATGTTCTAGTTTATCATGAAAAATAACTTGTTTATTTCATTTTGAGTTTCTACATAAACTGTGGTGTACTTAGGATTATAGTATTTAACATTTTACTTTTTCTTACTTTATAATAATATTTAAATTAAGTTTGTATATTCTAATAATTGTAAATTCTGATCTCATTGATGAAGTTAATATAATTTAAATGGACTTTTAGATTTTAATTTAAGCAAACATATAGCCTATTCGATAAGTGTACTATAAGAGTATTATGTTGAAATTATAAATAAAAAAACTAACCTTTCCATTCCTAAAGCAGGTGAAAACAATAATGGCGGCCGCGAGCGCGACGGTAGATATTCCACAGCCAATGTAAGTTAACGTTTGGAGTGCCAACTCATGCGCAGCGCTCAATGGTACGGCATGCACGTCCATTAGTATCGCGAAGTTTGTCAGATGTGAGCACGCACAGCCCGTATGAGTGGAATTAGACCATTCTACTTGACAACCTTCTGGAGACCAGCCACTGGAAAAAAAGTTGTATTATATTACCAAGGATGGTAGGGCCAGCGAAGCTTCGACACGAATGGGTCGAAGAGAGTGATACCATAACCTCACAGAAAACCGGGCGTGAAGGTTACTAGAGACCCAATTCTTTTCTCCCCCTCCCATCAAAACCCCTATCCTTAAATCCCTAATAGCCCGCAATAGGCCAACAACGCTCTTGTGGTTACTTTTTTGGTACTATGAGTATCCCTAATACGGCGCTGATTGCTTACCATAAGGTAATCTATAAGCTTGTTTGCCGACTTATGTCATAAAAAATCGATTGTGTCTTTTATCCCTCAGTTCTGTAGGCCTATCATGACGTGTTATTGCGTGAATCTTCCGGGCGAGAAAGAAGGATGGAACTATAAAAGGTGTGTAGCTCCATCCCTCTTTCTCGCCCGAAAGACCGAGAAGTAGGCCCGCTGTAATCTGAGGAAGTGTCAACGCCGAATGGTACGCTCATTTTCTTGTATTTAAATTTAAAACTGACAAATTAAAAGACCGGCAACATACTTCTAAATTACTGCACCGTAACACTTCACGGGTGTCCATGGGCAGCGTTGTTTGCTTAACATCAGCTGCCGACGACATAAAATAAAACACTAAACTTACTGCAAAGTATAATCCCAGAAGACGCAAGCTGGATTGGTGACATTCTCAGTTTTGATATGCTTCATTGTGATTTGGACCATCTGTGAGAGCTGGATGTGACGGCCATTGCCGAGACTGGCTGAGATGACCTGAAAGAAGAGTTTACATGCTTTAGTAAGTCTCAGAAGGGATCGGCAAAAATAACTATATTTTTCGGTAATCTTTAGGCCACAGTTGTTGCTAAAATAAAAGGCGGACACCACAGTATATATAGCAGATTACTCTTTCTTCTAAAGTCCAATTCCATCTAAAGGTTTTCTGAAAGAGATTGCTCCTTGGCAATAAGATCGCCTTTTGAACTCATATTTGATATTTTTTATCATTTTGTTTTGTTCTGATGATGTACAATAAAGAAAATAAAATAAAGAGTTCAGTGAGAATTTCTTTTTACTGCCACGAACAATGACAATTTAAAAAAATCGATTTTAAATTTTTTGGGTATACCCGAGTAGGTATATTTTTTGTTTAGTTTTTGCTTTGGTCAAATACATGATTGATCGCTTCCAATTTCGTTTTTTGATCAACCTCGGCCATAGTAAACTAAAAAAATATTTCTGACTTACCTTAGAATTCAGAACTCTAGTGATATTCTTCTTCTCCTTCTCAGAGTTGATGCTGGTAGATGAAGAGGTTCCAGAGTCAGCTTGGAAAGTGGAGAGGAAACGAGGGGTCTTCCCGAAGGTCGGAGGTAGAATCTCTTCAAGGCGGTTGAAGGCAAAGAATACTATACGAACCAAGTCGTTTTGTCGATTGTCTGAAAAAGTATAGTTAGAGATAATAATAATTAGCGTGCTTTTCTAGAAGACTAACATAAATTGGTGGACCATTTCCAGCTTTATTGATGTATCGATTGGGTTCAAAATTACTTTTTACTTTACTTTAGTACACAAATGGCACTTTTGATCGTCTTATAAAAAAACCTTATTATAAATATAAAAAGGTTCAGCTTTATGCGTGTCAGTCTGTCAGTCTGTTCGTCAGTGAAGCTAGGTGCTCATTCCAAATTTGATTCGAATGGAGAAGAACGAGCAAGACACTACATCGTTACTCTTAAAAAAAAAATGTTTTACAATTTCAATAATATAACATTTAGTATACACTATTGTACCCTTATGTGAGAACAATGCAGAGACAAGTTGTAAAAAAGAAGAATATTGGTGTACTTACCAAGTAAAGCAGCTTTGGGTATGGTGATAGTATCCTCAGATCCCTTCCACTGCTCCTGAGCGATGGGGGACGGGAATGTCTCATCTTCCACATTCTTCACTTCCAAGACTCTTACTGATAGACCTGAGGGTTCGGAGTAATGTTAGAAAGGTTTTAAGGGTGAGGTGATGGAATCAGTCCATATTGGACTGGCCGGAGGGTTACTGACACAATTTTTGATGGAACAAAGATTGGTTTTATGTTAGATTCGAATCCGTAGCATGCTTAGGTCAACTACCCGTGGTAGTACTCTACAAGAGTATGGGTTCCACTACAGAAGAGAACTAGTAATTAGCTTATTTTTTATATTAAAATGCACCTTTTTTATTTATATTGTTATGAAAAAATCTTTGACCCACACTACCATTTTCTCCTGTATCGGTGGCTGCATTTTCCAACATAGAAAATCACATGCAAATCACACCTAGACCCGAAACAACAATTTTAATCCACACAAAGAATCGTTCCGTGCGGGAATCGAACCAGCGACACGTTGGATAGCAGCCAATTATGCAGCCATGCAATCTATATTTGTCTTACTAACTTCCAAATAGTAAAATACTTACAAATATTATTAACAATCTGCAGGATAGTCTTCTCTTTGGTGACAGCATCAGCCAGAAGGAAGGCGTTCTCCTCAAGTTGTGTAAGCAGGGCACTAGCCGCTCTACTCTGGGCCTCAGAACTGAGATCTGCCCAAGAAGACCGCTGACTTTCTTCTAGAAGGTTCGATCCTAGTGGAGAAGAGATGAGGTTAAGGAGTGCCGAACCTGGGTTGAACATAAGCAGAAAAGCTGTTAGGGGCTTAAATAGGAGCTCGATTCTTTGGAAACCTTTGACTTTTATAACCTTTTTGACCTTTATCAGTTAATTAGTTCATTACCATGGTCCTGACAATGGTGGACAGCCAATACGAAACCAGAATGAGGTCTCATAATAAACATCAGACGCCATTTTGAAATCCGAATGCTGTTTAAGTTTTTGAAATTGGAATAAACATCGAGCTCCCTTTCAAAGCGAAAGCTTATTATCAAAATAAAATATAATATATAAATACAATAAAAAAGAAATACATATCTACATAATATATTGTAATAAATAAATTATATACATAAGTAATATAAATAATATAAATGAGGTTTAAATTATGTTTAATTTTGAGCAAGTCTTTGGATCCTTCATTGAATGGAAACCGCTTACCAGTTTTGATGACTCCAAGTAGCATATCAGTGACGATGGCTTCCCTCTGTCGAGGGTCTGGGAAGGTCTGGACATTCTGCGACATCCTCTGGGCGAGTTTCTTCATGATGCTCGTTGTAGTCATCATATCTCCTCCGTATAGAGTTTTCGATGATGTTACCTGATAGAGTTGATTGTAAAAGTTGACATAGATTGATAGTTCCATAGACAAAGGGTTCACACAAAAATAACTTAATTTTTATTATGGAACTCTAGATTTTGCCAGCGGTTTCGATCGCGTTAACCAGATTAAAAGAACCCTATTTGCTATTCCAGATAATATTCTATAACTGGGCCATTTTCCATCAAAATTCATTCAGTAGTTTTTACTTGAAAAGGTAACATACTGTGACGGAAAAGTGGTTCAAACTCTTTGACATCATGACGTCAATGGATGGTTGTCAAACGTTGCCTAGAGATTGTAAATTTCGTCGTGAATTGTCAACACTAGTTGGTGTAATCGGTAAGGCGTGTGGATTACACCACAGAGACCCCGAGTTCGAGTCCCGCCGTAAACATGTAGTTTTTTAGTTGATAGAAGTTTTGTGGAACTTTCTGGAATTATTTGTGTGAAAGAAATGAAAAATTAAAGAGCGAGAAGGAGAATAAATAAAAATGAGTAACGAAATTATTGGAAGGTTCTGGAGTCATGACGATCAAAAAGAATAACGAAATTGAATGTTCCAGAACCTGAACCGGGGGTATATAAGCGGAACTGCGGCTCACCGCTGGCAGTTGAGTTCTAAGTCTAAAGCGATTCGGAAGAAAAGGAAGAAGTGAAAAAGAAGAAAAGTGAGTGAAATAGTGAAGTGCAGTGAAATAGTGAAGTGCAGTCAGTTAAGTGAGTTAGGTCAGCGTGAACGGCAAAGTTGTGTCAGTCGGCCGGACTCTGCTGGAGAGGAACGCCGATAACTTAACTCCGTGGACGCTGTAACTTAAGTGCAATAGAAAGTCTGAAATCTGGTATTAGTGTTTCATTTCATCCAATCCCGTAACCCAAGCCCGCATAGTCAGGAACGTGACGTCAGGCACGTAACATTTGGTGTCAGAAGTGGGATTGGAGAAAAATGCCGCTAGTGCCGCAGGACGTAAGAGGAGTGAGTACCCGTGCAATGGCAGAAGCGCAGCGTGTGAGGGAAGAGAGTGCTGCAGCTCAAACCAGCGATGCAGAAGCCAAGCCTGTGCAGGTGGATCTACTGCTACAGCTGCAGCAAATGATGGTAGAGCAAGCGCGCCGCCAAGAAGAACAGCTACGGGAGCTGAAAGAAGATCAAGCTCGTCGCCAAGAGGAGCATGCACGCTGTCAGGCGGAGCAGCTACGGGAGCTGAAAGAGGATCAAGCTCGCCGCCAAGAGGAGCAAGCGCGTCGCTTGGAAGACATGCATAAGGATTTCACGAAGGGACTGCAAACGGCTGTCGAACGGGTACAAGAAGTGGAGGAAGGGTTAGGCAAGTTGGAACATCGCGTCAAGGCGATAGAGGAGAGAGTGGAAGAAGAGATCTCCAAAATCAAGCAGGAATTGACAAGCCCAAGCCCTTTGAAGAGCCGAAGCCGTCTTGCAGCCGTTTTTGAAGCCCCAAATGCGGCTTCAAGTGCAACGACAGGGCTTAAGATTCCCCATTACGACGGAACAACATCCTGGACCGCGTTCAAGCTACAGTTTGAGACACTTATGGAGGCTTATGGTTGGACTCAGAAGGAAGCACAGTCAGCCCTTACCCTGGCCCTCCGTGATCAAGCGCTCTCAGTGCTGGAAGCTATCGGCGCAAGTGGGGATCTCAGCTTTAGTGCCCTCCTCGACGCACTTGAGGCACGTTTTGGAGACTGCCACCTCGAGCACGTGTACAGAGCGCAATTAAAAGAGCGTACTCAGCGTGCTAATGAGGGCCTACAGCAATGGTCCGTGGAAATCGAGAAACTTGTGCGTCGAGCTTTCCGGTCGACTCCGTCAATGATTGAAGGCACGCTTCTCCAAGCGTTCATTGACGGTATTCGGGACCCCGAAGTACGAGCCGCTGTTCATCTGGGCCATCACAAGAACATGAAAGAAGCTCTGGCCCATGCATTGGAAGTGGAAGCCGTGCGTGGTAACTCCCGTACCTTACGTCTGCGGGAAATGACGACAACGGAGCAGGTACCTCCACGCCGTCGGAACTTCATGTGCTATGGATGTGGAGAGCGTGGGCACATACGGAGCGACTGCCCGAAGAAGATGAACCGCCAGGACGCGGCGGTCTCAACTTCTGACCAGCAGGGAAACTTAAATCCAGCCAGGGCTGCGGGGTGGGCGCTGGCTGGTAGTGGAACAACCCGAACAATCTACATCAAGCAAACCAACGATGGAAATACTCTGGTGATAGACGGTCAAGTAAATGGGAAAAACAGTCAGCTAACATTAGATACTGGAGCTTCAAGGACGGTGATAAATGTTCGGCTGCTCGAGCAAAACATCAGGAAACACCTTAAACCAATTGTTGGCCTACAAATGAAATCAGCTACCGGCCAGTGCATACCGATAAGTGGAAAACTGCATGTAACAATCAAAATTGGGGAACGTGTTTATCGACATGAGGTTATTGTGGCCAAAATTCTGGATGACTGCATCCTGGGACTTGACTTCCTGCAAGGGCACCAGTGTAACATCGACTTAAAATCTGGAGTTTTACTATGTGGAACTGAGGAAATTCCGATGAAGGGTGGAACCCTGGGAAAAGTTTGCTGTTTAAGAAGAACTGTTCTTGCACCAAAATCACAGACTCTCGTACCAATCGCATTACCTAGGAGGAAGGAAGGAAGTTTACCTCGAAGGTGCGCTGTGATTGATAAATCGGAACACGTAAGCTCATGGCTACCGGCAAGAACTGTCGTGGGGTCATCTGATGTCAACCGCATTCCGGTATTCAACTTCAGTGATTCAAAAATTACGATTGAAGAAGGAGAGCCTGTGGGCGTATTGGAAGAAGTGGCCTGGATAAGAAAATGCTCGGAGAATCTTGTGAAGAAGGACAGTACGGGAATTGACTTTGTAACGAAAATCTTAGACGAAAACAAAAGTCTGACAAAAGTGGAGACTATGAAAGCTAGAAATTTACTTCTTCGATTCTCTGATGTGTTTTCAAGAAGCGATGGTGATATTGGCCGAACTGGTTTGGTGAAGCATAAAATAAACACAGGTGATACAATGCCAATTCGTCAAAGGCCCAGACGCATACCATTCGCTCGTGAGAAAGAGGTTGAAGAAATGATTGACGATATGAGGAAAAATGACGTGATAGAGCCCTCTTCTAGCCCTTGGTGTTCACCTGTCGTGCTTGTCAAGAAGAAAGATGGTTCAACGAGGTTTTGCGTAGACTATCGACGATTGAATGATGTAACCAAGAAGGATAGCTACCCGTTACCAAGAATCGATGACACACTTGACACATTGAGTGGCATGAAATGGTTTTCAACGCTCGATCTGAAAAGCGGCTATTGGCAGGTGGATTTGGATCCCAAGGACAAGGAAAAGACCGCATTCTCAACTGGGAAGGGACTCTGGCAATTTAAGGTGATGCCATTTGGATTATGCAATGCACCGGCAACTTTTGAGCGTTTGATGGAACAGGTGCTGGCGGGACTGCTGGGCGAAACCTGCCTAGTTTACCTCGATGACATCATCATTGTTGGACGGGATTTTGACGATCATCTAAGGAAATTGGAAAAGGTACTCGACAAGCTGCGTGGAGCAAATTTAAAGTTGAGTCCAAAGAAATGCTCTTTCTTCAAGCGCGAAGTGAATTATCTAGGACATGTTATTTCTGAGAGAGGAATTGAGACTGATCCAGCCAAGACTGTCGCTGTCAAGGAATGGCCAACACCTAAAGACAAAACGCAAGTTCGGGCATTTCTTGGATTGTGCTCGTATTATCGGCGGTTTGTGAAAGGATTCTCGGACATTGCCAAGCCATTGCATCGATTGACAGAGGAGAAACGTGCCTTTGTTTGGGACGAGGATTGTGAGCAAGCCTTTCGAGAACTAAAAGAAAGGCTTTGTAACACACCAATTCTCGGATATCCCAGCGCGAAAGGAATATTCGTAGTTGATACGGATGCCAGCAATATTGGAATAGGAGGTGTCCTTTCACAACGCGATGGTGAGCAGGAGAAGGTTATTGCTTACTTCAGCAAGTCACTATCCAAGCCAGAGAGGAATTATTGCGTGACCAGGAGGGAATTGCTGGCCGTAGTCAAAACCCTGCACCATTTCAAGAAGTATTTACTGGGACGGAAATTTTTGATCAGAACTGATCACGCTGCTTTGAAATGGCTGCTTCAGTTTAAGGATCCCGAAGGCCAAGTAGCCAGATGGCTGGAACAACTTCAGGAATTCGACTTTGAAATCGAACATCGCGGCGGAAGAATTCATGGCAACGCAGATGCATTATCGAGACGCCCATGCGTGGAAGATTGCAAACATTGTGCTAAGAAGGAAACTGCTTTTCTTAAGGTGATAAGGACTGATACTGTTGACGAGGCATGGGGAGATGATGCGATGAAATTAGAACAGGAAAGAGATGCAGATATTAAACCAATACTGGAGTGGCTACGAAGTGGTAACAAGCCAAGTTGGAGTGACGTCGCCCAATATAGCGCGGTAACGAAAGGTTTATGGGCACAGTGGAAAAGCCTTACGCTGCATAACGGACTTCTGTGCAGGAAATGGGAATCAACAAACGGCAAGGACGAGCATTTGCAATTGGTGGTGCCTCGTTCAAAAATAAGGGATGTATTAAAAGCGTTCCATGATGGATCTTCTGGAGGACATTTGGGAATTAGGAGGACTTTGGTGAAGATCAAGGAGAGGTTTTATTGGTTGCATTGCAAATATGACGTCGAAGATTGGTGCCGGAAATGCACTAGTTGTGCAGCTGTCAAGGGTCCACAAACAAGGAGCAGGGGGGCGATGAAAATCTACAATGTTGGTATGCCTTGGGAGAGAATAGCCTTAGACATCGCTGGACCATTTCCAATCACTGATTCGGGCAATCGCTACGTTTTAGTGGTTATGGATTATTTTACAAAATGGCCGGAGGTCTTTGCCATACCGAATCAAGAGGCAGTAACTGTAGCGACGAAGTTGGTAAACGAAGTATTCACCCGATTTGGAGTACCCTTGGAGATGCACAGTGATCAAGGACGGAACTTTGAATCCCAAGTTTTTCAGGAAACTTGTAAACTTTTGGGAATCCATAAGACTCGAACGACCCCTTATCATCCACAGTCAGATGGAATGGTCGAACGCTTCAACCAAACATTGGAGCGACACTTAGCAAAGGTGGTTGACAGCCATCAGAGAGATTGGGACACTTACATACCTCTCTTCTTGCTTGCCTATCGGACTGCTGTACATGAAAGTACCGCAAAGACGCCTGCATTTGCAAATTTTGGAAGGGAATTGAGATTACCGGCAGATCTTGTATCGGGCTGTCCACCTGGCGACTCTCGCACCGAGTTTAGCGATTACATAAGCGAGTTAAGGGCAAAAATGTTGGACATTTATGAGCAGATCAGGGAGGCCGGTTTTCAAGCTAGTGATCGCGCAAAGACGCGCTATGATCGACGAGCCAATTCTGTTGGGTTTGAAGAGGGGTCATTGGTCTGGCTTCATAATCCAGTCAGAAGGAAGGGAAAATCTCCGAAGCTGCAACCGAGTTGGGAAGGTCCTTATGAGATAGTCACGAAGATCAATGACATTACTTACAGAATTCGGAAGACTTCAAGGAGCCCTTTGAAAGTTGTCCATATAGACAGGTTGGCGAGGTATTACGGCAGCAACGATGCTCGGGACGAGCGAATCTAAGAGGGGGGCAGTGTGACGGAAAAGTGGTTCAAACTCTTTGACATCATGACGTCAATGGATGGTTGTCAAACGTTGCCTAGAGATTGTAAATTTCGTCGTGAATTGTCAACACTAGTTGGTGTAATCGGTAAGGCGTGTGGATTACACCACAGAGACCCCGAGTTCGAGTCCCGCCGTAAACATGTAGTTTTTTAGTTGATAGAAGTTTTGTGGAACTTTCTGGAATTATTTGTGTGAAAGAAATGAAAAATTAAAGAGCGAGAAGGAGAATAAATAAAAATGAGTAACGAAATTATTGGAAGGTTCTGGAGTCATGACGATCAAAAAGAATAACGAAATTGAATGTTCCAGAACCTGAACCGGGGGTATATAAGCGGAACTGCGGCTCACCGCTGGCAGTTGAGTTCTAAGTCTAAAGCGATTCGGAAGAAAAGGAAGAAGTGAAAAAGAAGAAAAGTGAGTGAAATAGTGAAGTGCAGTGAAATAGTAAAGTGCAGTCAGTTAAGTGAGTTAGGTCAGCGTGAACGGCAAAGTTGTGTCAGTCGGCCGGACTCTGCTGGAGAGGAACGCCGATAACTTAACTCCGTGGACGCTGTAACTTAAGTGCAATAGAAAGTCTGAAATCTGGTATTAGTGTTTCATTTCATCCAATCCCGTAACCCAAGCCCGCATAGTCAGGAACGTGACGTCAGGCACGTAACAATACATCCTTACTTCGCTGTAACTGTTGCGTTTATTATAAGAGTGGGATTATACTATTAGTTTCCCGCTTAGGTAGGCAAAGGGAAGTGAGTTTGCTTGCGATTACGATCTGAGCAACCAGGTCGAAACATCAAGCCTACGAAGATATTTGAATAATTATTTTTCGCGTTAATATTCGCGTAATTATATTTTGTAAACAAATGGGTGGTTTCCTAGCTCAAAACTAAATTAATTCGGCGTTTCAATACAATAAAATATCGAAAAATAACAATACTTTTATTCATCGATCGATCGATACACTAAAGTTTTAGTTTTTTTAGCTACTTATTAAGAAATAAGTTAACTATTTGACGCAAAAATGTTATGATGTCATAACTCAGCTTTTCATACCAATTTCATGGAAAAGTATCGTTTTTGACGTTTGGATAAAACTATTGAATTTGACTAGTTGGAAACTACCGTACTGAACTTATTTCCTTACCTGTGCCAAATCATTGCTGATGCTGAGCAGTGATTCTCCTTCTCTGACCCGAGCTTCCAAGCTGTTCAGCCATACGGAGCGACATTCACTTAGATCTGGAGTCTCGCCATGCCATTCTGGTACTGCGTCAGCTGTGGGAAGGGAAATGAAGAAAATTATAATATTAGTTAATGTTTAATAATACAATTATCATAGAAAGAACATATAACTCGGAAAAAGTGACATTGGTACTTGTCAGGTTTCGAACCCTCATGCCTGAGAAACGGGCCCCTTAACATCCGGACCACTACGACATTTTTAAGAAGTGACATTATTAAAGAGTTTTCTTACAGTAAATTAAATCATTGGCCAATTGGTTCAGGTTGCCACCAGCCTCGAGGAGGCTGCTTCCAGTGCCTCGGTAGTCGATGATATGTTCAGCTACATCGCCATCACGACCTGCACCGATATTATTACGTTAGTCAAATTTTTAAAATGTACTAACAGACTAATTTTAGAATTGCTCCTATCGAACCAGTAGTTCCCGAGATTAGCGCGTTCAAACGAACAAACTCTACGGCTTTATAATATTATAAGTAAAAAAGTAATAAGTATAGATAAAACAAAACCCCTTTCTCCGTCTCTATATCCCTATGTACACTATGCTTACATCGTTAAAATGTTAATGCGGTTTTTCGAATGCATATAGTGATTAAAGAGAAAGGTTTATATGTTGAAATAATATCTATTAAATGGTGGAGAGTTTAGTATCAACACTTGAGAAGCCAGGGCAGGTCGCTAGTTATGTTATATTTGCGGTTTTATTGTTCTAAAACCTATCTACGTATCATTTTTGAAGGCTTCCAGAGAAGATATGACTAAAAACTTGGGTGATCAAGAGCTTCACGCTGTTTTTCGAGCAGTCTGATTACCTGATGGTAAGTAATCGGTGCCGCCCATGGACTCCGGCATAGCCTTATAGGTCTTAAAGTTGTAGTAAGTCTATATTTTAATCAATTTTTAACTCATCTTACCTTTCAAAAGAGCTTCAGATCCAAGTCTTCTGAGTAACTGCATCTGTCTGTCCGAAGGCTCGAGTCCGAGGTCGTGGAAGTTCTCCCCTGAAGGTAGACCGGTGCCACGACGTCGAGGACGCTCTTCCTCGGTGAACTGATGAGGAGTGAAGGTGCACCTGGAAGTGGAAGTAAGAATTAGTTGTGTTATAAGTATACAAGTTTCAGATCCACGGTATCAATCGTGGTAATTCGAGACAGAATAGAAGAATAATATGTGAGGGAACGCCGGCGTTCGCTTGGGATTAAGGAATATACATATTGTCACACTGAAATTTGCTTTGTTGCTGAGAACTGTACAGAGAACTCCATCTCCGAAACCTATAAAAATGAGGGATATCCTCATTCTCAACATGAAACAAAATAATGTGATACAATACTTTAATGAATATTGCCAATTAATTATAGTAACGATAAAAACATATTTATTAAACTGGCACCTTCTTATTGAAGTTGTACCAGATTCAGAGAAAGCTTGATACACTTACTTCCATCTAGCCAATCCGGTAGCTCCCCCAGGACATGGCTGCACAGCATACGTGCCTGCTAGAGTCCAGTTCCAGTTCAAACCCCTGGCACTCACTTGTGGGCAGAACACACGACGTCCAATGTTTGGTGTGGCAATTGTTGCTGTAATAGAAAGGAGGTATCTATGTCAGATAGGTTAGCCAAACGTTAGGGAAAAAAAACTTCTTTACTTCATTTTCTTTTTTTTTATTAACAAGAAACCACTGTATAGTCTTCAAATTTGAATATTTAAATTTTCTCCTGTCTCGTGATAATTCAATGAAATAAAGAAAAAAAAAAGTCAAAGAAAAAAACATTTTTGTAGAGAATTTTAAGATCTATAAATTGCTTCGAGGTACTTTTCCGAAAAAAACTCAATATTATCGAGAAAAATAAAAAAAAAACGCATGAAGTAAACCAAAGAGGTTTCCACAAAAAATCGGCCTCGCCCTAATTTTATTCAATTGATTATGTCTAAATAGACTAAATTAAATAAGAAGTACTTACAAAATGTTCTTTCAATTTCATCAACTATGTCGCTTCCCGGTCGATTGTCTTTTGGCGCCAAATGTACGGATGGTGTCGGCTCTGAATCTTCGTCTTTCGATGGCCATTCCAAGGTTTCTTCTGTCACTGCTAAAATTGCAATTCATTATTATTTAACTTAGTATATAAGGTATATGTATAGTAAATAGTTTAAAATTCAATGGAGATTTTTCTAAGGTTTCTTTTTATATTTAGTTTTGTTAGTCCAACCAAATGGGTTTGGAGATTTTGGAAGATTGCTTTTTTTCTTTAGTTTTTTGTTAGATCTAGGCTAAATGCAGTTGCAATGTGGAACTATTATTTACTACGACACAATATTTAATAATTTATTCTTTTCTAAGCATATTTTTATAATAAGAAAAGACTTTACTCTCAGTAAAAATGGAAGAAAAAATTAACCTCTACAACCATAACAAAAAGGTTTCATTTACTTACTCGGTTCATCCGCCTTAGGTGGTTTCTCGTTTTTCTGTTCAGGTTCGTTGACTTTAGCCTCCTCTTTGACCTCAGGTATTGACTCCCGAGGACTTTGAGGAGGTTCCCTCTCTGATGAAGAGTCCGGTTGCCGTGTCGTAGTCTTCTAGAAGAAATTTAGGTTTTAATACTTTACTTTAAAGTTTGATTTTGATGTGCGTTTATTTTACCTCTCAATTGGGCAATTTGAGACACAAAAGAACAATAGATGCTCGAACGTCGGCGTTCGCTTGGGGTTTGATTAATTAAGACGAGGGCGTGGCTGAATGGGTATTTTGTTCTTTCCAAGAACATGATAGCTAGTGATGATAGCTAGCATGATAGCTAATAGTAGTAGTCTAGGTTTAGGTGCTGAAAAATCTCGATATGCCTTTTTGTATAAGTGGTTTTATAAAATACATACAAAGATTATTGAAATTCAGTTTAATAAGTACCATTGATTTGAGTAGCAAAAATTTTTAGACATACCAAGATTGTTGACATTTAGTTAATTACCTAATTCGATAGACCAAAGTTGTTATTATTCCAAACGAAGACTCCTAAAAGTAATGGTACTCATTTTTTTTTATAAAAACTATGCCCCACACTAGCATTTTCTCTTGTGTCGTGGGTGCGTTTACAAACATACACATCACACCCAGACCCGAAACAAAAATTCGTGGATAACACAATGAGTTGTTCCGCGCGGGAATCGAACCCGCGACACGTTGCGTGGCAGCCGGTTACCCAGTCACCGCGCCAACCGTGCAGTCAAATTGAGAGAAAACAATCATATATATATATATATATATATTATATATCATACCTTAGAAGCCACATCACCGAGTTTGACCTCCGGTGGCAATGTGATATGAGGCCTAAAGGTCGGAGGAGTGATGACAGTTGGCTTCTTTCGTTCGTTCTGTTGAGTCTGCACTGGGTTCTTGGGGATCGGGGGTTGGGTAGACCGCCATACTGTTGGCTGTGAGGTGATCAGCCAAGGAGGTGATGGGCGATTCGTAGTGCTCGTTGTTGATGCTGGAATTTAAAGAAAAGTGTTTTAGAGATGGAAACGGTGATAGAAGACTGTTATTTTCTAGCTTTTTGTGAATATGAGTATGTATTAGTTCTCCTACGATTTTTGTATAGAGATAGTCAAAGTTTTTGAATAGTAACTATCGTTAGACAGGTAGAAAAATTTATTAAAAATAATGACAAAGAGAATTTTCTTCTTCATCGCCTCGATGCGCAGCAAACTGATTAAGAATCCCGTTGTGACTTGAAATTAGTAGAGCAACTGGGAAAAGTCTCAGTCGATATTTTCAATAGTAAAAGATAGTCCTGATATTTCATAACGTACTACCTATATAAAACATTATAACAATATGTTATTGCAATTTTTAGACAGATTTTGAGACAGTCCGGCTAAGTAAGCCAAGTGAAACGACTATATCATACTTCATTCTTTCTCTTTCTTTTTAAATTATGGTTATGTATAAAATGTATTGTTTTTCTTACCTGGAACACATTGATAGTGGGCTTCGAGATATTTGAGCGTGTTCGGACATGGGTCCCCGAACATATTCGTACTGGCCAGTATACTACAGTTTTGATGCATACTACATCTGTAATAGAAAAGAAATCAACAATGTTAATGCATTTTTCAAAATGGCGGATTCGTATTTGACAGCTTTCATTTTTTATTTTAATTATTTTTAAATTTTTAATCGAATTGTATTTTTTTTTGTTTATTTAATTTAAATATAGAATAATACTTTTTTATATTTTTTCATTTGAGCTTGGATATGTAATTTTTGTGGTACGACTACGATAGTAGTAATTTTTGAATTTTCTATTGAAGTTCTGATTATTCAAAGTTACCTACCTAAAGAAATTGTTGATAAATAAAACAAATACTTATTTATTGAAAAAAAAAGACATACATAGACAAATTGGTCAACATATTTTTAGGCACTTAAAATTTATAATTCCGTTTTAATTTTTTTTTTTTTTTTTTGATTGTATGGAATTGACACTAAAAACAGACTATGGTGCACAAATGTATAAGTACAAATACAACTAAATAACTACAGTTAACTGCTGTAAAAACATAACCAATTTTATTTTGAACATGGCAAACAGGAGAGTTACGTATGACGCCGGCAATCAATTTAAACGCTATTTGCCAAAGTTAAGAGGGGTCCGGATACTTTATTGGCAATCTCACGGGTAAACGCGATCAACTTACGGAATATTTAATTTTCGGCAATTTTCGTCAATTTTCGGGCATCCTCGACACTTTCCGGACGACCTTGGCGTAATGATTTGTTATTATCCCTATCTAAATCGAGTTGTTTTAACTAAATTGTAATGTTTGCACTCAGTTTAAAGCGGTAGGTAGGTATTTAATAAAATTGTTTACATTTTCCGTTGATGTAATTTCGTAAAAGAACTGTTTTGGTTTTTATTTGCGTTAAAATCTTTAGGATTACGTTTTTTACAAAGGTATATAAAATTTTGCTTCTACCAACGACTTCGCCTGTGTCATTCCAGGCTATGATTTATCAATGTGCCAATTTCCATTAAAATCCATTGAGTAGTTTTTACGTAAGACACCTTCACTTCCCATGATTCATCGTCATCAAGCGCTACTCAATTTTAGAAGAAAAAAACTAATTAAAATTTAATAAGCCATTGATTAAAAAAAATAAAGTCGAAATAAGAAATTCAAATATCCATTTTAATACGCAAAACATAAGATTTAATTTCCCATTATGCTAATCGGATTAGCTACTACTAGCTTGAAGATAAAAAAAAAATATCAATAAACATATTTTTTTTAATCAAAAAATCGATATTCAAATTTATGTTACTTAAATAAAAATAAAGATTATTCGTTAATAAGCAATAAAAGTCTTAATTCGATATTCAAAAAAATATTACGATGTTAATATTATTGTCTGTTTTAATAAAAATATAGTTTTTGAATTTTTGATTAGATACCTATTTCTTTTTAATAAATCATTATTGGATTATTGAACTGTCTTGTTGGTGGAATGGTCGGCACGTGATTTTTTTTTAATTGGGTGAAATTAACAAGTCTTCTTGTAAATAGACCCTGGGTGAGAAAGGGAGTGTTAGACTCTTACTGCCTCATAGAGCCAATAGACCACCACAGACGGGGCCCTATGGGGCTGATGTTCAGCCAGGGTTGCGAGGCCAGTGCAATAAGGCACCTCGGCCTCGGCCTAATAAAGGAGGAGAAGGAACGGGGGTGTTTAGTCAGTAAGAGTCTGACACTCCCTCCCGCCCCACCCTGGGCGGGACGAATCATTTCATGATTTACCCCACAAGGCCTCACAAAAAAGTAGCCATTTTTATTTGTAATTCTGAACAAAAATCACACGATTTTAAAATCAATTTCCAACTTTATAGTGTTGGGAATCGTATGTCGATAGTTTTAATGTTACTAATTGACTATGGTCAGTTAAATAATTGTATAGTATCATTATTTAATCTAAATAAATAAGCACTGCAAATATTTTCGCTTCGGCTTTTTGTTATTTAATTCATATTTTATAGTTAACGTAGTTTATTAATTAACGTTGGTTTTTTGATTTAGCAAATAATTATATAATAATATTTACAATGTTAAATACAATATTTTCATTCTACCAAAGTTCAGCCAAACGACTGACATACAAATATTGTTTTACACAAATATTGTGGTATTTCGTATGATTTCCATACAATTAAGTGTTGTTTTTTTATATAAGTACCTAGCTAAAATAATTTTATTTGCAATTACCACGTGTATTTCACATTAATTGTATTATTTCTACTATAAAATTTGCGACGCGACTCCTTGTAAAAATCACTAGTAATGTTTAACACTTCTCATAACTACAAAAAAAATATAATCATTAAACATGGTCATCGCTTCATGGTGGACATCCCACCAACATGCACGAGGCGGTTCGCCTCCAGTTTTATAATCAGAATCGCTAAGGAGTGGAATTTTTTGCCGGAGACTTTTTACCCCGAAGGGTATAAACCTGGGTGTCTTCAAAGCCCGAGTGAATAGTTTGCTTACGGGTAGGCGTGCTACATCGTAGGTCGCATCATCGTTTACCACCAGGCGTGAAAGCGGCCAAAGGCCTGAAAATGAAAAATAAATAAATCTTACCTGCTATGTAAAACTCGCAAACTTTTCGTTGACATGCAGTTGACACTCCAGTCTGTGTTGCCATGGTCGTTACATATCGTGATCGAGAACCTTCCATAGTTCGCCCTGATGAGATGGATCACGGATCCTTCCCTGCAGCCAATCTTCAACGTCTTCCCTTCACAAGCGTACGCAGTTTCGTACCGCGGTTCTGAAAAAACAAAAGTGAAACGTTAATAAAATGTCTAAAAGTAACAAATATATAAAAATAAAAATAAATTACATAGCTATTTTATAATGGTGTCCATTGTTTTCCTACTCTAACTTAGCGTATTCTTCATTATATAGTATTAGACAAAACTGTTTCCCATTTTTGTATCCATGTATGCTAAGATCTCTAAATTACGAGACAGATTTTGATGCGGTTTTTTAATGAAATGCTTCAAGAGGATAATTCAGGTGTATTTTAATAAAGATCTATCCCTAAAAATCTTTAGAATGTTAATGGTAAATTAAGAAATTGAAAAGACAGTGTCGAATCAGACTACAGTGACGCGAAATGACCATTGATTAAGACATTTTAGGCAAAAGTATACCTCCAGATTTAGAGATTTAAGTTGAATTTATTTAGATTTAGAATCAAAGATATCGAAGCTAAATAAAAAAAAAAAACTTCCGACTCATCACCCTTCGCTTGATTTCAATTAGATTTCAGATCGTAATTATTCTTAATAAACTATCGAGACTTAAAGAAAAATGGTAAAACAACCCTAAACCAGGGCTCCCCACTCCATCATACACAGACGCTCATTTCGCAGTGTGAGTCGGCG